GTCTGGCTAGAACCCTTCATTTGATAGCTCGCAAAGACTTCATCAGACCAAGTACCAGAGGATATAAAAAGGAAGAGCAAATGAAGAAAAAGGTGAAGCTTTCTTAAAAATCCAGGGTTGGGAAGTTGGCATCTAAAGATCCCGGGGTGTCGGGGGAGGGAAGCATCTTTCTGATCACTTGCTTTACAGAATTCTGTCTACATAAAGCAAAATGAGAAGAGAATTTGCTTGGCATGTGGAGCCTGAATTCAGAGGGCTGAGGAAACCCTACTGACTGGCCCCTATGAGGAGTGATGAGAGGACTGGGGAGGAGGAGAGAGAAATTGATCCCTGGAGACTATCCAGATTTCCTGCTGGAATCTCATTGCTAAGTCCTCACCTTCCTGCAAGGACTTGGAATCCCCTGAGCTGATCCCAGTCAGGTTGTGGTTAGGGGTCACATGTAGATTTCCAATCCCCCCCAACACATACACCACATGCACACATCATCACAGAATACATCGGGCCCATGGCAGGCTAGATCTCTGCCAATCCTAAAGGGGCAGCCTCTGCCCCAGGCCTCCACACTGATGGTACATTAGAACTGGAGCACTCAATATCCCATAGGATGAGCTGGCTTGATTCTCTGCCCTTTTCAAATGCTGTATCGACCACAACTCCCTGGACATCCCTCGGGTTCTTTGTTTCCAGGCGTTCATCACTTGACATCTGATTTTCACAGCCCCTTTGTGCTGGCAAGTATTTGGGTGGTCATTTCCCCTGCTGCTCCTCCCAGCTCTGCCCTGCCCTGCCCTGCCTCCACTTCTCCAGCTGTGCAAACAGGGTGGGGCCCCAACTCCGGAAGGCCTTCAATGTGAGCCTCACACTCTGGCGTACAGGAAGATGCCCATCCCTGCTCCCTGAGAACTCCAAGGAGCCAGGAGCCCAGTGATCCAGGGCCTGCCACTCTTTAGCTCCGATCTCAGTGCCCAAAGGCAGGGGGTGAGCTAGGCAGAGGAGCTACCCTAGTGTTCCCACCTCAGAGTGGAGCTGCACATCCACCCCTTGGGTGGGGTGGGCTTGCTAAATTCCAGTGCTTAGCCAAGTCTGCCACCTCCTATGGCAAAGGCCCCACCTCACCAGTTTTTTCTTGGGACCCAAATATTTCCTGTTTCTTTATAGAGGAAAAAGGGGGCCTCTTCTTGGAGAGTCTTTGCTGCTAATGGGTATAACAGACCCTGGCTGGAATTATGACCACATTAGTCAGACTCAGACCTGACTGGGAAATTGGGCTGGGGGCCGCGTAGCCAGGCTGAATTGAATGTTCTCCTTGTGTTCTCTCTCTCTTGTTCCTCTTTTCCTTCCCACACATGGAAAGCTCTCATCATGGATATATATTTTTTAAAGCCCCTCCTGCCTTCGAAGTTCCAAGAGACCTACAAGATGCAAAGCTAGACACGTACCCAGAGGTTGGAGGGGAGACAAACCATTTACAGCTCCAATCCTGAAACACCTTGCAAGTGTGTGCTATGGGTCACAAGGAGGGGTGGGGCTGCTTTGCCAGGCTGAGATTGGCCAGTGCAAACTCACTCCCTCCTGTGAAGACCAGTCAGGTCCCAGAGGTTGGGGAGTGGGGAAGGAGAAAAGACAGCTGATGGTTGTAGAACTAGCTGATGTATTCAAAGGGCAGTCCAGAATAATTAATGACTTGATGATTGTATTCCTGGAGTCCTAGTGTGGGGCTATAGGATAAGCACTGAACTGCTAACCGCAAGGCCTGCGATTCAAACCCAACAGCCGCTTCTTGGAAACCCAGTACAGGGTTGCTATAAGTTGGAACTGACTCAATGGCATGTAACAACAATTTTATTCTTGATGGAATAGCTGCTAAAGTGCTGATGCAAACCAGAAGGTTGACTGTTCGAACCTATCAGCCACTTCTCAGGAGACAGATGTGGCAATCTGCTTCCATCAAGGTTAACAGCCTTGCAAACCCTATGGCACAGTTCTACTCTGCACTACAGGGTCGCTATGTGGCAGCAAGGTTATTCCTAATACAGGCCTGAAGGCGGGCTCCTAATACAACCTGGATAGGAGGAGACAGCCAGCAACTGTACTGCTCAGCCCAGCTTGTGGTCTCGTTTCAAAGTCCTGCCAAGCTCTCCAAACCACCAAAGATTTTACCCATCTTCCTTCCAACCTGTGATTTTTTTTTTTTAATTTTTTTTTTTTTAATGGTTAGGGTCAAAGTAGGCAGAGCACATTAGTTTCCTACTCGATAATTTATAAACAATTGTTTTGTGTTTGTTGCAATCCCCTTCAAAGTATCTTTTTTTAATTGGAGTAAATATATATGTTACAAAACATTTGCCATTTCAACACTGTTCCCATATACAACTCAGTGACGTTAATAATAGTCAGCAAAAAAAAGAGGAAAACCTTCAAGGAGATGGATTGATACAGTGGCTACACCAATGGACTCAAACATAGCAACGATTGTAAAGACCGTTTGGTTACACTATTTGGCACTGACTCAATGGCATCTGACGCTACAACAATAATGCTCGTCATGGTGTTTAAACACCAACTTGTAAGTTCTTGTGATGTTTGCATCCCCTGAAAACTCACTCTTGGCAGTGGCTTGATAGGCTTGGACAACACCCCCCCACACACACACACACAAAAAAAAGTCACCAGCTCCTCACAGTTCTTTCTGAACTCACCTCTCTGGTGATTAGTGTGGCACGGTGGGTTAATGCACTGGACTGCAAAGTCGGTTTGAACTGCAAGGTTGGAGGTTTAAACTCACCAGTTGCTCCTCAGAAACTCTCTACAGGGTCGCTATGAGTCGGATCCGACTTAACAGCACTTAACAACAGCAACAGTTCCCTCCCTATTAGCTGAAGATTGTCTCTCTCTCTCTCTGTCACATACACACACACACATACACACACACAAACACAAGCCATCTTTAACAAGTTACAATTCAGGATCAGAAATGCTCAGGACACAGTTGTTCCAGTCAGGACAGACTCTTCCTCAGTCATGCCCACAGGCAGGTGGGTGTCTCTTTACCCAGCCAGTGTTACAAAGCCTTTACATCTGTGGACACATATGCCCACAGGACACATCACTCCACCATAAGCCTCAACCTGAAGGCATTTGCTCAGTAGGTCAGCAAACCTGCCCCTCCCCACACCGGCCAATAAAGTGCCTGGAGGCACCTCACTCTGCAAACAAGCCTCCTGCCCAAAGTCCCTCAGCTTTACTTGCTCTGTAGGCTGGGAAGTCCACTGCTCTGTCTAGTGCTCTGATTCTTGGTTCTACTGCTGCTGCTCCTCTGCCACTAGTCCCTAGGCTGAGAAGGTTCAATGTGCAGGGATCTCAGGGTCCAAAGGACACACTCCACTCCTGGCTCTTCTTTGATGGTAGTGAGATTGCCCCCCAAATCCCTGCTTCTGAGATGACTCACTTTAAGTCCACTTTAGAGTTCTGAGTTTTTACTGTCACCTCTGTTAACCACTCACAACTGAATCATATCATCCTATCAGCATCTTCTCCCACCTTTTGCTCCCCAGACTTACCAGGGCAAAAACGTTATTTGGTGGTACTTACAAAGACTATGGGTAGAAAAGCCATATGAAGCAATTCACAGCACTGCAGGGAGGAATGGTTGGTTGGTGCCATTTAAAAAAATATATATCTGTTTAGTCTTTTATTGTTTATTGCAGCAAAATAAATCTAATGAAGCATTTCCCAATTCAGTTGTTTGTTTTTTTTTTGATGTGTACAATTCAGTGGCACTGATTGAGCTTTTTAACAGAAACTCAGTGTCTCCTAAGTAATCACTCTCTCCCCCACTCCCTAGTAGCCACGAAGGAACACTGGTCTCTATGCATTTGCCTATTTCATATAAGTGAAATTGTGCCACATTTGTCCTCTTGTGACTGACTTCTTTCACTCAGTGTGCTTTCAAGTTTCATCTGTGTCGTAGCATGTACCAAAATGTCATCTCCCTTTAAGGCTGAGTAATAGTCCATTCACTGGAGAAGGAATATTCCATGAAGAAAGACAGGCTTGGTAAAGTAGAGGCTCCGTGAAAAGAGGAAGACCCTCAACAAGATGGATTGCCACAAGTGGCTGCAACAAAGGACTCAAATATCACAATGACTGTGAGGATGGTTGAGGATTGGACTATGTTTTGTTCTGTTGTACATAGAGTCGCTAAGAGTTGGCACCTAACAACAACAACAATGTTCCATTGTGTCTGTGTCCCACATTTGAATCCATTCATTTAGGCTGGTGGGAATACTGGTGCACAACTTTCTGTTTGCATCTCTGCTTTTTTCACTTCTTTTGGTTAGATGCCTAGGACTGGAATGTCTGGTCAGATGGTAGTTCTGCCTTTAAATTTTTATCATAAAAACTGTACCTGTTCCCTGTAGAAAAACTGGCAAGTACAGAAAAGCATAAAGAATAAAATGAAAACCACACATACCCCACCATCCATAGATAATCATTGATAAGTATGTTGCATTTCCTTTCCATCTTTTTTCTAGGCAGAACTATATCTCTCCCTCACTGCCTGCAATATATTCTTTGTTGGGCTGTAAACACACTGCATGTTCATGGTAAACATTTCAAAGTACGCAAAGTATAGGAATCATAAAATTTAAATGACCACTAGTCTACTGTTGTTGTTGTTAAGTGCTGTCAAGTCGGTTCTGACTCATAGTGACCCTGTATAGGGTTTTCGAAGAGCAGCTGGTGAGTTTGAGCTGCCAACCTACAGTTCAAACCACCCTTGCACCCTGAGACAATTATGCTTATATGTTGGTGAAATTCCTTTCCGTTTTTTCGCTTTAATTGAGACCGCTTAGTATACATTGTTCTGGATACTTTTAACTTAATGCTTTGGTGTGTCCATTTTCCTGTGTCAATAACGGGGCATCTGAAGCATGATTTGTAATGCCTGTTTAGTCACTGTATGGAAGAAGCATGATTTACCTTTTGCTTTTCAGGAGAGACAGGGTTGGGCAAGTCAACCCTCATGGATACCCTGTTCAACACCAAGTTCGAGGTGGAACCAACTACCCACACGCAACCAGGTGTCCATCTTCAGTCCAATACCTATGACCTCCAAGAGAGCAATGTGGGACTCAAGCTGACAATTGTTAGCACTGTGGGCTTTGGGGACCAAATCAACAAAGAGGACAGGTAAGGAAGGCGGTGGTGTGGGGAAACTGTCGGGGGCCACAGAGAGGAGCTTACTATAATGTCTTGGAGAGACCTTAGATGTTGGGGCCCAACCTTTGCCTCTTATTAGAATGCCATGGGCAGGCAACAAATGCCTCACCAGCGCTGTTCCTACCCAGGCTCCCTGTCTATGGCAACTGCTTTACTCCACACACTTTGTCCAAAGAAGAGGGTGTCTTTCAAATGTGCCTGGATGGGGTCTGAATTCAATTCAGCCCACAGTTGTTGCTCCTACCTTGTTCCAAGAACTGCTGTTCTCTGACCACCTAAACATGTGTGGTGTAGACTCTGCCCTTGAGGCACTCACTGGGAAGACTGGATTTACGCAAATACTCACCATACAGTGTGATATGTTTTGTAAACGGAAGGACAAGTTACTTTGTGTTCCCACTGGGAGAGGGATTGGAAAGGAGGGAATGGCATTCCTGGCAGAGATAGACTAACTGCTTGTACAAAGCAAAGAGGTCTGAAAGATGATGGCATGTTCTCAGTAGGCTTCCTCTGAAGTGTAGGGAGCTTAAGTTTCAGGCCTCTCACCTGCACAAGCCCCTTCAGTGGCCCTATAACTAATTTTTAGTTATACTGTTGCATAATTTTTCTTGCAAGACCCCTCAGCTTAAGGTCCCACCAAACCTGGACCTACCTCTGGGCTAGAACCTGGCATGAGCTAGTAGAGAGGTATGAGGGGGCTTCAAAAAGTTCATGGAAACTAGATGGTGCCCAGCTGCTCAGAAAGGGATCAGATTAGAAGGTCCTGAGTAGAGTGGGAGGAAAATGTGCAATGAAACTCAAAATTATTTTTAAAAAATAAGAAGAAAGACTAGTCTTCCTGGTCTCATCGAGACTGGTGGAACCCCCGAGACTCTGGCCCCTGGACAGGTCTACAAGGAAAACAATAACACTAGTGAGGTCTGCACACCTTAGAAGAATCTGACATTTAACGTCAAATGGGCAGTATTTACCCAAGGACAAGGTTCAGAAGAATTAAGAAACAGGAAACTACAGGGAGAAAGTCATGTTGAGGGGATCAAAATTAAAGAGAAGGAAACAAAATGGGTATGTATGAATCGTTGAATGTAAAAGTGATGATCTGCTCTGTGAATCTTCATCCAACTCACAATGAAAAGTTGTTTTTTTTTTTAAAGTTCATGGAAAACTTTCATTATCTTTCGATTCCATTTTGCCATGAAATTTTTGAAGCGCCCTTGTAGAGGGAGATGAGCTTGAAGACGTAGGAGCCAGTTCATGGAGGGATTTACGTAACTGGCCAATTTGGAGCCATTGAAAGGTCTGAAGAACTAAAATGTTGTGATCTGCTTGGCCTTTGAAAAAAGTGTTTTGGAACTGTATGGCGATAGACTGAAAAAGCAGGGAGATCAATTAGGAGAATACTGGAATGATTAGATGGAGTCAAGTAGGTAAAACAGGTGCTCAAATGGAGAAGATGAAGTCCCTCTGATAAATCCTGAATAGGTAGAATCATCAGGACTTTGTAGAAACTTGGTGTGGGGTTGTGAAATAAGGCTGAGATTTCTGGCTTTGGAGACGAGCCAAACGGTGGTGTTATTCAGTGAGAGAGGTGATATGAGAAGCAGGATTTACGATTTGAAAAGAATGTCTTCATTAAACATTATACTTTTAAAAAGCATTATCTATATTCTGCTCCCATAAAGATTTACAACCTTGGAAACCCTATACAGGGTGGCTATGAGTCGGAACCGACTCCACAGCATCTCTTCATATGTGATTTAAATTAACAGCAAAAACTTGAAAGGGTAGATGAGAAACTTAAGGGAGGGCTGTAAATTTGTGTTCATGGTAGTGAAATCATTTGGGAAAGGTGGCATAACCAAAGCCCACTGAATTGTACATGTAGAAATTGTTGAGGTGATGTCTACTGGAGTTTCACCTAAAATTTTTAAAAACAGAAGAAATGCATTGTTGTTGAGTTGAACCCCACTCCTAACGATCCTATAGGACAGAGTAACCATAAGGTTTCCAAGGCTATAAATCTTTACAAAAGCAGACTGGCACATCTTTCTCCTACAGAGCTGCTGGTGGGTTTGAACAGCCAACCTTTCAGTTATCAGCCATATAAATACTTAACCAGGGCTCCTTTAAAAAGAGGGAGAGAGAGAACCAGTTTGTAAAATAGTTATCTATGTTTTGAACATGTTCAGTTTGAGCTGTCTGTAGAACATCTAGACACATGATGATCTTCAGCTGTAGACAGTTGAATATACAGAGTTGAAAGTCTGAAGAGGGTCTTGGCTAGAAACAAAGATTAATGGGTTAATGTAGTATGGGGGATACATTTCAACCATGGAAGCTTGTAAGGTCATCTAGGGATCAGAGTAAATTCAGAGCCCTGGACTCAATAGACAAACCTTGAGATATTAAGGAAGTAGGTGGAGGAAAAGAGACCTGAACAAGAATAATCAGAGAGGTAGGAGGAGAACCAGGAGAGTTTGTTGGGGTTTGAGAAGGGTGAGTGGGGGGTAGATCAAGGGTCAGAGCAGGAAATGAGGGATGGGGTCAGGGACAGGATGAAGATCAGACCCCTTCTGACAGTAACACCGCATTTGACTAGAAGTCACTGCGACATCTTAAGTGCTCATCTCAGAAAGGGTCATTCATCATCCGGAGCAAAGTATTCATCACTGTAGGATTCTCTTGCTTCAGAGATTATCTCATATAACCAAGATTTCCCTGAAAGTTACAGCTGCCCATTTCTATTTCTTATGGTGAATAAATATATTTTGCTTCTTACTAACTGAATTAAATTCTGTCTTCCATTTGAAATTCTAGAAGGACACCTCTGTGTTTTAAATAGACTTTCTTCTTGTCCTTAGCCCTGTTTGGTTGCCATGAAATTAGACCCTGGGGGAAGGGACCACAGTGTGCATGCTTATTCTCATATGCCGATTGCTCAGTAACTCCTACTGACGCTTCTCACAGCTCTCTCCTTTCCATATAGTAAACATATCTGACATTGAAAAATGCCTTGATCATGATGATTTAGGAGCACTGAGCTGATACTGCCCCTTAGAGGCTAATTTACTTCCATTCGATTTTTAAAATACCCTTATTGCTTTTCTTTTTTCTTTATTTTTCTTGTTGCTTTTCTTGGTGATACTATAAATGGGAAACCCAAAAGCCAGATCCATTACTGTTGAGTCAGCTCCAACTCCCAGCAACCCTATAGGACAGAGTAAAATTGCATCATAGGGTTTCCAAGGCTGTAATCTTTCCAGAAGCAGACTGCTAGCTTTCTCCTGAAGAGTGGCTGGTGGGCTTAAACCCCTGACCTTTTGATTAGCAGGTCATTGCATAACCAGTGTACTATGAGGGTTCCTCTGTAAATGTGATACAGAATCATAAAAGGTCAAATGATACAACTCAAATAGAAATGAAAAAGCAAAACACAAAATCTCACTGCTGTCAAATTGATTCTGACTCGTAGCAAGCCTACGGAACAGAATAGAATTGCTCTTCAGGGTTTCCAAGACTGTAAATCTTTCTGGGAGCAGAGAGCCTCATCATTCTCCCTAGAAGTGCCTGATGGGTTCAAACCACATATCTTCAGGTTAGCAGCCTTGTGCTTATCCCATTGCACCACCAGGGATCCTTATTAATGGCATGCTTCCTGGAAATTGGGGAACAGTGGTGAGGCAAGCTCCAGAGACTTGGAATAGAAAGTAGTTTGTTTTTTCTACCTGTTGACAGGGCCAATTTAAAAGAGCTCTACCAGGCCAGTCCTGGGATGGCGCTGCAGGGTTATGTGCTGAACTGCAAGGTCAGTTTCAGCCGCAAGGTCAACAGTTCAACCTTACCAGCTGCTCCTCAGACACCCTATACAGGGCCATATGGGCCAGAACCCACCCAAAGGCACTTAACTACAACAAAATACCAGCACACAGGAGTCCTGGTGGTGCTATAGGTTAATTAAGCATTGGGCTGCTCACCAAAAGTTGGGCAGTTTGGATCTCCCAGCTGCTTGTTGGGAGAAAGATGAGGCTGTCTACTTCCATCAAGATTTGCAGCCTTAGTGAAGACTTGGGGGGTATGGGGGAAGGATTGCATGGAGGGGATTGTAACCATGGCAATGAGAGATAATATACGATAGAATGAATGTAAAACTAATGTTCTCCCATGTAAACTATCACATAATTCACAATAAAACATTAAAAAAAAAAAAAAAAAAAAAAATATTTGCAGCCTTAGAAACCTTCGGGGGCAGTTCCACTTTGTCTTACAGGGTTACTGTGAGTCAGAAATGACTCCATGGAAGTGGGTTTGGGTTTGGGAGTTATATGTCAGAACAGTTGCATTGAAATGGGGCATTAGAATGCTCTGCTTTACCCAGGGTGCTTGTGTAAACTGAGAAGAGCAGCGACTAGGACTCAGAAGGGAAGGACAGATGGAAAGGAGATGACAGAAGAACTTAGCTGAGGTCTCTGACAGAGCTGGGTGCAAATTACATTTTGCCACCGATTCACTCAGGGCAAGCCACTTCAATTCTCTATGCTGAAGTTTTCTCACCTGTCAGGTGGGTGCTGATAATTCCTACCTGAGACGGTTGTGTAAGGTTTATGAACAATGCTTAGAACATGCCTGGCACAGAGAAACTGCCTAATAAACACCCAAGTCCCTGGGTGGCACAAATGATTAAGCGTTCAACTACTAACAGAATACTTCATGGTTCAAATTCACCCTGAGGTGCCTCAGAAGACAGGCTTTGAGATCTGTCTCTGCAAGGTCCCAGATATTGGCGACCCTAGGGAGCAGTTCTGCTCTGCACACATGGCCATTGCTGTCAGTTGTACTCAACAGTGTTGTCATTGTCAAGTGCCATCAAGTTGGTTCCGACCCACAAAGACCCTGTATAGGGTTTCCAAGGAGTGCCTGGTGAGCTTGAACCACCGACCTTGCTGCTCAAACAACTTTGCTGTCCAGTACAT